CGCCATTTTTGCTTTCCTGTAGCATCTAATTTTTTTGGTACCACCCAAATTGGTGAGGACCAGGGAGAATTTGAAGGTCTTATAATTTTTTGATCTAACATTTTTTCTATTTGATTTCTTACTTCTTGGCGATGGATGAACGGGTATCTGTAAGTTTTAGTATAAATTGGAGTCTCATCTGTCGTTTGTATATGATGTTTCAAGTTACTAGTGAAAGATAGAGGTGTATTTTCTTGATAGAAAATATCTGAAAATTCTTCACACAGTTCCAAAGTTTTGTATTTTTCTTCATCATTAAGATGATCAACACGAATTTTTGATAAATCTAGTCTTTGTTTGGGTGATTCGTCAAAATTATTTAAATCTATCATCTCGATATTATTTCTTTCAAAAGGGTCGACTTCTATTTGTTCTGAAAAATCTAAAGTAATTGGCTCGCAAGAGTTATTTAAGATTGTTGTTATTGCATAGCCATCTTTTGCGATTGTTAGTGATTCGGGTATTTCAATATTGTGTAATTTCATATAGGGAACAATAATTTCGCCATTTTTTATAGATGTTTTGATTTTAATTACTTTTTCTGTTCTCGCTTCAACAGTAATGCAATTACACTATCGGACAAAAGTAGAGCAACTCTTATTATAAAATAAAATATTCATCTATCAAAAATACACTTGTTGATAACGGAAGCTAAAATGATCCCAGTTTAAAAGGTTGTAGTTGACTGCTGTCATAGGCGAAATTCAATTGTTTCCAAACGTCAAACAAAAATGTATGCAATAATTTATTTGAACAATTCACATTATTAGCGCGACAAAAGTAAAGCAACTTTTTAATTTTTTCCAAAAAGAAGGGATTTGAGTTTCAGGTAAGATGGAAAACATATTTATAGAGTTAAAAATTAAGATTATTCGTCTTTTTGACAGATTTGAATATGCCAAAAGGTAAACCAATTTGTCTGGAGTTAAAACAAATGGTAGTAGACGCTTTCTTGGAAGGCAGGCGTTTGGTTGACATTTCCAGGCAGTTTCTTTTGCCAAAATACAGTGTATCCAAAATAATTTCACGTTTCAATGAACGTGGACATGTAGAAAAAATGCCAAAATCAGGAAGGTTTAGAAAAACTACATTTTGGATGGATAGGAGAATCAAAAGAGTTTGCCAAAGAGATCCGTGGTTGTCAGGACCAAGAATAATTGCTGCAATTCCTGAACTAGAAGTAAGTGCGAGGACTGTCCAACGAAGATTAGTTGAAGCAAAGCTTTACAGCAGACGTCCAGCCAAGAAACCGCTGGTTTCTGAAAGAAATCGCCGTGCCAGGCTCGAATTTGCACAACGTCATCTAAATTGGACAGTTCAAGACTGGGAAAAAATTTTATTTAGCGACGAAACTCGTTATAAAATTTTCAATTCTGATGGAATGAGGCGTGTAAGACGTCCAACTAATACGAGGTTTCAACCAAAGTATGTTATACCAACCATAAAGCATGGAAGAGGAAGTGTGTTTCTATGGGGTTGCTTTTCATGGATTGGAGTAGGTCCATTGCACTTCATAGACGGGACGATGGATCGATTGGTATACAGGGACATACTCCAAAATGTAATGTTGCCTTATGCTGAGTGGGAAATGCCTTTGCGATTCGTATTTCAACAGGACAATGACCCCAAGCACACCTCTCGTCTTGTGCAGGGGTGGTTTCAGGAGAACAATGTCCGAGTTCTGCAGTGGCCAGCACAATCACCGGATCTCAACCCTATCGAGAACCTGTGGGAAGAAGTTGAACGTCAAATTCGTACCACAGCATTTCCAAACAAACAGTTTTTAATTGATAAAATCAACGAGGTTTGGACTAATATGCCGATTGTCACTATCCGAAATTTAATTTCATCAATGCCGCGCCGTTGCCAAAAAGTCATAGCCAACAATGGATATCCTATCAACTATTAAGTTATTTATTTTCATTATTGTCTATTTCAATGAGCTTTTAGCTATAGTTGTTGTTTTTGTGTTGTTAAATGCAATAAAATTTTGATTTCTTAAAAGTTGCTCTACTTTTGTCGCGCTAATAAAGTGTATTATTTATATAAATTATTGCACACAAGTTAATTTGACATTTGAAAATAATCATATTTAGCCTGTCACTGTAGCTTACTATGACCTTTTAAACTGAAAGGATTTCATTCATCGCTAATGCATATTTTATTTTTGAAAATTAAATATTGGATATTTTTAAAAGAGTTGCTTTACTTTTGTCCGATAGTGTAAGTTCGTTTTGTGTTTGTTGATATTTTAATTTGATCTTTGCATAGGGCGTAATAAGGTAACCACTATTAAAATCAACATTTGCTTGTAATAATTTTAAATTGTCAAGGCCTATCAAACCATCAAAAATGTTATGGAATTTGAATAGGTAAAATTTGAGTTTTCCTTTTTTGGGTAAATTAAATATTTTAGGTGCTGGTATGTTAGCACTATATTTATGGGCTGATTTCTGGAATACCGTACTAACGATGAAAGGATCGTTAATAACGAAATTCGGAAATAATTTAAATGCTATATTTGGGTCAATAAAAGATTTCGTGGAACCTGAATCAATTAAAATTTTGACGTTGTATTCAGGAAACACTATGTATGAGAGTTCACTGGTGTTGTTTAAATTTAATGAAATCACTGGGGGCGATTCCGTCAAATATTCTGTTTGTCTTCGGCTGATTCCTGAAAATTTGATTCCACAGCCTGATTTGATGTGGTCGGTTCTTCTTGAGTTTCATTTGTATAATTTATCTGTGCTGGGTCAGCATAATAATAATAATAAGAATTTTCGGGGTTATAGATCTGCTGTTCATCATAATATGCATTATTTTCGGGGTACGTTTGATTGATGACGTTTGAATAACTGTATTGATATTCTTCAGAAGTTGGATCTAGTTCTGTAGTAAATAATTCTTCAAATGCATATTTGGGCTGTTGCTGGTACTGTTGTTGTGGTTGCTGGAAATTTGATGCTTGAGCCACTGGTGTGAAATTTTGGGTGTTTTGGAAACTTACACCTGACATTGGTGTGGGCTTTGGCAAGATTTTTCCAGGATTTTGTCTAAATACGTTTGTTGGTTTTGGTTTACCAAAAACTTGGGAGTTAGAAAAGAATTTTTGTGGGCGGATGTTTGCATTAGGTCTAATATTGATAGGTTGTGACGGAAAGGGCTGCTTAAACTGATTTGGTGTATAGTTATTATAACCAAAATTTCTGGTTGGACCATTAAATCGAAATTGATGTTGTTGAGGTTTTGGTTTTGTATGATTTGCATTGCTATTATTGTGATTGGGTTGATTTTGGAAATATTTTGTGTTACTCTCTCGAATAACAAGTTGTATGGCATCAGCTAAATCTTTTGGTGACATACAACGAATTGTGTTGCCTAAAGGTTCTCTTAAACCGGCCAAGAATGTTTTTAAAGCAAGTTCTGTATACAAATTTCGTTTTATTTGGGCAGTAGCCACATCGTCGTGAGCATCTACGTAACTGCAGAGTAAATTAAGTAATTCGAGAATTCTATCATAGTAAGATTGAGGGGTCTCGTTAGCATTTTGTTTGGTTAAAACAAGGTCTCTATTCAAACAAGACTCGTCGCGTCTGTCCGCGAAATGTCTAGTCAATGTATTTTTTAGACCGTCCCAGGTGGAGACATTCTGAACATTAACCACTAATCTAGCATTGCCAGAAAGTTTACCTATAAGAGAGTTTATTAAAAATATATTTTGGAAACAATTTACATTTACAGTATCATAAAAATTATCTATGAGAGATTTGCAAGTCGCTAATTATCTGTTTAGCTCGCAAGGGTTTCCCTCGAATTTTGGGACACAACTTAAATATTCGGGTTTAAATTGAGCCATAGTTACTGGTAAATTTACTGTAGCAATATTTAAAGGAGAAAAGCTTAAATTTTGTTGACTTCGCAAAAGCGTTATAGTTTGTGCAAAAGCAGTTAAATCTAAGTTTGAGCTATCAATAGGTAAAATATTATTTTCACTTTCTAATTGATCAATATTACCTTCAGTTTCTAATTGATTATTAGATTGATCAGTTAACACTTCTGTATTTTAAGCGGAGTCAGAGCTATTATCGTTTATCTCAATACTTTCAAAAGAGTTAATTAAATCGTCCAAATCAGACATTTACAAATTGCACTTACATAAAATATGCTATCAATTTTCGTGCCATAGAGTTTTCTTCTTATGTCTAGGTGGTACTATAAGGCCTCAGTCCTCTGGTGGCAATTTTGTAATCCAAGTCCAAAAGCACTAAGTCCTCGCAGAATTGATAGAGTTTGTTATCAATTCTCAGAATGCCGTCGCGAAACAATCCCCAATTAATTGCTTTACGCACACGAACACTTTCCGTAGTCACGGCCGAAAGTTTCTGATGTTCAATCAAAATCCCGAACCGTAAGTTCTTTCGGATAGCCAGTTGACCGTTTCACGATAAATTGATACTCGATGTATTGATTCCTGACTATCCTACCGACTGCGCCAGTTACAAATAAGTACGCGATGTACGATTTTTTAAAAACAATTTTATTTCACTTAAAACTATTACAATATTTTTACGTTTAAAATTTATTAAAATTCGAAGCGTCGAAAGTGAATGCAAAGCTCTGACTGAGGACGCTCGGCAAGTAGAAGCTACAAAAAGAGAATACAGAATGCAAGCTAATGAAAAATAATATGCTGATTAAATAAAATATACAATGTAGAGCCGTATGTAACTCGTGGGGAATTTTCTTTAAAAAAAAAACAGATTTTAAATGCAACATCAATGTTATTTCCAAGTCGCATCCTTCGACTTCGAGTAATTAGAAAGAATCCCTATCCAGCACTCAGGTGCAACAAACACTTTTCGAAAGCAATAAGCGCATAAAGCCCCGGAGCTGTTCCGGAGCTCGTCCCAGGTGTGAAAGGAATACAACTAATCGTGTTAGTTCGATTCTTGCCTTGCGTTCGGTATTTTGCTCAAAGTGTAGAGCGAGCTGAGCGGAGCCGTAATCACGTGACCAGCGAGCGAACGGAGCAGTTGAACGCCGTATAAAAGTACCGGAAATTTTAATAAACGAACGCGAATGAGGCTGCACCGAGTACACTTTTTAAATAAACGAACGGTAAAGTCAAGCTCGGAGAACTCAGACCAAAATAACGAACGCAAGGTTGAGATTCGTCATCGAAAGCCGTCGGTCGAATGCACAAAGCTGAACTGTCACCATTCGCTGCGACGGTTTCTGGGTGTGGTGTATTTGATTCGAATTTCATCAGTTTCTTTCTCTTTCGTGTACGTGTAACGGTAACGTCCGGCGGGGATTCACACAGTCCACACGTGTGAATTCCGAGTTTAATGCCAACGTTTGCATTTTCTATGCGAATCGCATTTTGCAATTAGGTACTTAGGTAGTTCAGTTGCGTTTTGTAAGTTGGTGCTTTATTCAATTTTATTCTCGATTTTATTATTCGCGGTGGGATACAAATTTTGGAATTTGGTGAGTTTTTGCTATGCTTGTATTTATGTCCTAATTTATCAAGGCTACTGGATCATAATCTAAGGCTGGATCATTCATAATTTCATTGCATTTGTTTAATTTCATAGAATACCTAAGTAGGTACCTAGAATAGGTTGTTATTCTTGTCTACACAGGCTTATAAAAAAACTAGTAAAAAAAGTCTGTTTTTTTATGAAGATAATTCCCCAAGTCAACTATGCATATACAAGGTCAAGGTAGGTTTACACTATCAGCAATTTCGATTTATGTTTGGTTTGAAGCCCTTTTTCAGTTTTCCTCATGCTGTTGACTTTACACTTATCAAGAATGTCTACAAGTTTTAACTTGTATTAACTTGTTGATAATTTACGATAATTCACATCTAGTTTCTTGGCGAGTTTCTTGGTTTCCCTGGTTCTTGATCGACCGGCTCAGAGTGTCCGTTGTTAAAAGTGAATCTTAAGAATTGCATTTTAAATCTTAGCACCCTACCCAAAAGACTATGTAAAGTCTGTTTTTTTTAAAGAATAAAAGTCAAAATGACATTAGGAGGTTTGTTTCTGCAGAAATCACAAACCAATCAGAGCGAATTTCATTGGTCGAAACTAGTTTTCTGACTGTTTTCAACCAATAAAATTGACTCTGACTGGTTTGTGATTTCTGCAGAAACAGACCTATAATGTTGGCAATACAATGTAAAATTGTCAATGCTTTCAAATTTTTTATGTGAAAAAGGCGAGGGGGTAACATCATGCCGCAATACTGTCACAAATTCTCAACAATCACTTGCAATCACTTAAATTTCCGTGACAATCTTTGTCGCATTCCTACAATCGGGTTTGCAATCTCACAATCACTGTAAAACAATCCTGCAATCGCATTCGCTGCCCCACAATCGCTGTCGCAATCTGACAATTGCATTGGCAATCTTGTACACCATCACTTGTTTTAAGGTACTAGGTGTTTGTTTATAACTGGAACACTCAGTAACTTTTATATATTATTGAAAATAAAGGGCGTGTTTAAGCTGGAAAATTTCTTGGTAAATTGCAACCTTAAGCGTTACAACGATATTTTTTGTCGTCCTAGGTTTACAGGGTGCGCCAAAAAGGTATATTTTTTTTTTAATGGAATGCCCTATATATTTTTGTTATCCAAATAATATTTGATATGTTTGTAAAGCTAATTTTCTAAGAATTTCAAAAATGCAAAAATATACAGGGCGTTCCATTTGAAAAAATGACTTTTTTGGCGCACCCTGTATAGTTCAACTGTTCTGTATCTGGCAAACAAAAATGAAATTAGTAGATTACAAAAATTACAGAATAGATCCATGAGGATAATTTTGGGAGAAAGGAGAGATACACCCATAAAACTAATGCTAGATAACAAATTGTGAAAGGCTTTCGTGGCCATCGTCCAATGATGAGTGGGTTTTCGGGCTGTTCGGCCGTCGTCGTTGGAGAACCGATCTCCAACGACGACGGCCGAACAGCCCGAAAACCCACTCATCATTAATGCTAGATAAGTTAAAGTGGCTCTCTATAGAAAAGTTTTTAGAATTTCAAGTGTTGGTGTTTATTTATAAAATAAAAAATGGACTAGCGCCGAATTATTTGACTGATAGACTAGTTACTAATGAAATAATTCATGACTATCCAACATGAAATAAAGATAATTTTTATGTTCACAAAAAAAACAAAAGTTGTTCAGAAAGGGCAGTCTATCATAAGGGGTTAATTGCCTTCAATTCATTGCACAGTTGCATAAAGAATGCGGGTAGTCTGCAAATTTTCAAAAATAGATTGAAGTGTCGCTTGCTGGGTGAATGATATAGTTGACTTTTTTGTTTCTATTTTAGTTTTGTAATTATTGTCCATTGGTGATTTTTAGGGGAGAGAGAGAGAGAGAGAGAGAACATACTTTATTGACCAAGAAGTACATATAAATGGAAATCTTATTGTCCAAGCTTAGGTTGTAAACATATTCTTAGTACCTAACTAAAACCTACTTAGAACTAATTAAACTAGTAATAAGTATCTGAAAGAGAGAACAATGTACGACTAAGACCAATGAAATGGGACACATTTAAATAATAAAATATAAAAAGCACAGAGCAAGGAACATTTAAAAATCTTAAAATGAATACATATATAATTTAAAAAGGAGTAGGCAGTAAAAACAAAAAATCAGGTACAATTAACAAAAGTATGTGGCTTGACACCTATATATTCCAGTTAGAAACAGATTAAAATTAGCCACACAAGAAAAACCGTCACACTCAACACAACAAATAAGTTTTACTAAAAATTATGCATAAAAAATTCATCATACGAATAGAAAGCCAAATCAACAAGAAGAGTTTTACAACTATGTCGAAATTTTTTGAGGTCACTGATTTCTCGAATCTCCAGTGGTATGCGGTTATACATTTTCAGACCATTGTAAATGATAGAGTTCTTGACTAATTCCAAGTTGGGGATGGGTAGGCAAAGATCGTGTGAATTTCGAGTCTGATAAACTCTGCTGTTTGAAAAATGAGAAAGATGTTTATGAATGAGACACACTGTTTCTAAGATGAGGATGCAAGGCAAGGTAAGGATTTTATTTTCAATAAAAAGTGGTTTACAGTGTGCCCGTGAATGGGATTGACACATGAATCTAATGGCTCTTTTTTGTAGGATGAAGGTGGAATTAAATAAATACTGACTACAAAAACCCCAAAACGCAATGCAGTACCTTAGGTGTGATTCAACCAAAGCAAAGTAGGTGGTTCTCGCTACAGATTTACCAAGTTCCCGAGCAGTGACCCTAACACAGTAACAACCTGAGGATATTTTTTTATTTAATGATTTTATGTGGGCGTCAAATTTAAGCCTATAATCTATATTCAACCCTAGAAACTTGGATGAGTCTACGATGTCAAGAATATGGTCTTCAATAGATATGTTATTAAGAGTACAGTTTCTGAAAGTCATCATATGTGTTTTTGAAAGGTTGAGGGATAGGTGATTAGCATCACACCAGGTCTTGATCTTCTTTATATCAGTTGCTATCATGTTATGAAGGATAATTGGATCCTTATGCGACCAACAAGCAGTACAATCATCGGCAAAAGCCCCAATATCACCCAAGAGGTCAAGGCTCAAGAGGTCATTTATATAAATGAGGAAGAGAATGGGTCCCAGGACAGAGCCTTGAGGTACACCATTCTGGATGAGTTTTTCTTCTGAAGTAGTGCCATTTGAAGAGACCCACTGCGTGCGTCCCGTTAAGTATGACCGCATCCACCCGAGCTCGCTCCCCTGAAATCCGTATATGTTAAGCTTCCGCAGCAGCAATCCGTGATTAACGCAGTCAAAGGCTTTTGACAAATCACAGAAAACTGCCGCAGATGACCTTTGTTCATTCAACGAACCCAAGAGGCCCTCCATAAAATACAAGACAGCATCAGCTGTGCTTTTTTGATGTTGAAAACCAAATTGACTTTTATTTAAGAGGTTGTTTTCATTGAAAAAGTCTACTATACGTTTGCTGACCAGAGTTTCTATGACTTTTGAGAGAGTGGAGAGCAGGGAAATTGGTCTATAGTTCGAGAGAGATGTTGTATCCCCCCCCTTATGTATGGGTTTGACAGTGGCAGGCTTCAAACATGCAGGAAAATGTCCACTTCTAAAAGATGAATTTATGGCATCAGCCAGAGCAGCAATGGAGCTGAGGGAGAGTTCCCTTAGGATTTTAAGGGAGATACCATCATATCCAGTTGCATTTAGATTCTTCATTGTGTTAAGGGTCTGCCTTATTTCATCTGGATTAGTTGGAAGAAAAGAGAATACATTTGGAACTCTTACAACTCGTACGTATTCAAGTGGATCTTTATTACTTTGTAGATTTTTAGTAAGATTTTCAGCTATTGAGCAATAGAAATTGTTAAGATCGTTTGGGTCCAAAGGAATGTCTCGAGAGATGGTTTCTGTGCGTCCTGTTATTTCATTAACAATATTCCATGCTGTTCGAGACACATTCGTGGATGTTTGAAGTCTTAAAGAGTAAAAATTCTGCTTTGCCTTTTCTATAAGTTTTCTGTATATTTTGCGATATCGATAGTAGTGGTTTTTTATGAAGTGGTTATCAGAAAAGTGTTTGCGCAAGGAGTTAAGGCAACGTAGATTTGCAGCAGAAGTTCTAATTCCTTTAGTTAACCAAGACTTTGAGTTAGTTCTTATTTTTACGTTTCTGAGAGGAAAACATTTGTTTATTAAAGTGCAAACAACTGAATGAAAAGCTGTTAGAGGATCATTTTCATATTCTAGGAAGTTCCAATTTTGCCTGTCACATTCTAGATGAAACATTTGGTAGTTATGACGACTAAAAATGCGTTTTCGAACCCTGTGTTTAGCCTTCTTTGAAGTAAAAAATAGAGGAAGTTTCGCTACAATAGCATTATGGTCAGAAATGGCTGCATCAAGGGACTCACACGTTACGTCACCCTGTATATTTGAGCAAAAATAGTCAATTGTAGTGGCAGAATATTCAGTTATTCGAGTAAATGAGTGAACGTGCATGGTGAGGTTAAATGAGGTTAAGAGGTTAGAGACAGAAGCAGCTACATTAGAGTCAGCATCACTGTAATCAACATTTATATCACCAGCCAGTACTACATGGCACTTGGATGGAAGTTTAACAAGCAGTTGTTCTAGTTTATTTAGGAAACCGAATATATCTGAATTAGGTGATCTGTAAATGCATACCACACACAGGTTTAGTTTTTTCGAGAAAATTACTGAGAATTCGAATTGTTTTTCTTGCAAAAGTTGATCAAGATGATTACATGATTTAAAGTCCAATATATCATAAGCATTTTGGTTGATTAGGACGGCAGTACCTCCATGTTGGCTTATGGTTCGACAATACTTTGAAACAGCAATATACCCTGGTACAACCAGCGGCTCGTCTACATTAAGCCAAGGAGTAGGGAGTATATACTGTATACCTATATT